AACACAGGTGAATATTTTAAACGGATGATCAGAGGAAACACCGTTCACGAGTGATGGATGGAGGGTCGATTGGGATGGGCAAAAGTCGATCGATTAATCGACGCTTTTCAAAGTTAAGGAATTAAATTTAAATGTATAATCTACTTTGCAAGTTTGAGATCTGAGGATTCGATTATCGTCATTCTGTCTTTCGAATCTTTAATTACGAATTCTTGTCGAAATACAGACGGATGTAATTTTCCATGCGTTACGTTAAAGATAAAATGAAAATAAAAACAAGCGGAATATATAAAATAAAATGATTTGATTATGAAACATCATGTGCGACAGATTTATAATTTATATAACGTTATTTGTTTTCTAATTTTTCCATGCGTTCAGATATCTGATTGATTTCGTTTTTATTTTTTTCACATTTTTTCACATTTTTCATTAAGTTAATAAAAATAGAATAATATAAGAAGGTCAATAAAAATAGATAAAAGACTCTTAAGAGTCTGGTCTATATCATTCTATTTTTATTTATTTTAATTTAATGAAAAATATGAAAAAATAACGAAATCAATCAGTTTCTTCTGAAGTAATTAATATTTACTCTTTCTAATATTGAGTTACTGATGAACGAATTTTTAATTCATCGATCAATCATGTTGTCGCAAATATAATTTTGTTTCGTATACGTATATATAGTTTGATTCTGGACTAAAACAGAATGCACCTACAATCGCACTGCTCTCAAAATAGAAAGAGCCAACAAACGAAAATGGATTAAAATTTTTTTCTTCGGAATGCGTATTTTAAATAGCGAATACTTTAATTGGATTCAATTGGATTCAATGAGATTCAATTGGATGTAATTGGATTGAAAAACTGCATTTCCTATTCAAAATTTTGAATTGAACAGTATTCACAATGTGTGTGTTATGCACAGAAAAAGCTAATATTATTTTTAGATTGAAAGGCATAGAGATATGCTTCATGCAATTCCTATAAATAAATAAAAATGCATTCAGGATTGAAAAGCATTCATTTTAATTCATGAATCAATATTTCTGAAAATTTGAATCCATTTCAATCCATTCTTGTTTGCTGGGAAAACACAACGGGTGCTAAACATCATATAAACTGTCAATTTCTTGCTTCAAGCTACGGACAGAATGTTTGGTCTATGTACAGGTCTGTTTTTTATTGCTGCACTATCTGAACTGGTGCACACAGTGCAATAAATTGAATCGAAACAGATATACGTTTATTTCACTTCAATTTATTGCAATTTATTGCATTGATGCACTAGTTCAGAATATAACAATAAAAAAATAGACCTGTTATATCATGGAATCAGAAAGGTGCAATATACGTTGCAATATACGTTTATTTCATTTCAACTTACTGTACTACGTGCAGTTAGTGTAGTATTCACTCCACCATTACAAATTTTCTGCACTAAACTGCATTATTAGAATTCTCTTTCTCATTTTCAACAAATATCAAGCATATACTTTTTTCACTTTAAGTTCCAAAAGTGTACGGTACACTGGTGTACAGTACACAGAAAACTAGACCTCAGGAATGTATTTGGTGTAGTCACTGCACTGTGTAGCACTACAAAAAAATGACAATAGCTTTGTCGATCTGTCACTGTTCGTAACGAGGAGAATGGAGAATGTGCACTGATAAGGGATGTATGTACACTTGCATACGTGGACACACATCGAGGGCTTGCTAAATAATTTTAATTTACAGACAAGAAGAATATGTAAAATAAATCATTCAGAGAAATAAGTTCTTCATTGCTATTTTTCTATTTTTTTATATATCTCCCAGTTATCTTATCTGTGCCGCCAGTCGCTGTCAAAAGGCACTAAAACTCGAAGGAAGTCATGGCCAGTGTCATTCCATAGCAATCTAATCACCGTGTTGTGTTCTTCTACAGGACAGTACTCGAGACAAAAACTATGACGAACGAAATATCGGTGAATGTTTTGACACTGAATTGTTGGTAAGCATATTCTGATGAAATTTTTACTTATTTTATAAAAAGCATTCCTAAGGCTCTTATTTTATTAATTCTTAACGATAGTGTCATTATATATCGTTATTACATATTTTTATTATGTATAACTCTTGCAACAATATTGTAACAATATCATAACTGTCATTAAAAATTGTAGAATAGGAGCTTAAAGAGTGAACTTTAATTTATGTTCTGTTGCTTCTGTTTTGATAGGGGTATACCATATGTGTCAAGAAATAAGAACGAACGTATGTCAGCTATCGCAGAAAAATGTATCAGTAGGGAATACGATATAATTTGTTTGCAAGAAGTTTGGTCTGTCGATGATTTTAATCAGATAAAAACAAAAGCGCAGGAAGTGCTTCCCTATTCGCATTATTTTCACAGGTATAGTTGTACGTCATCTCTTGTCATCTAGACAATTTGAATTGTTTACTAATAAATAATTGTAATCTTACATTTCTTGCATAGTGGAGTCTTGGGATCAGGAATATGTATCTTGTCAAGATATCCCATTCATGATGTTATGTTTCACAAGTGGCCTTTAAATGGTTATGTTCATAAGATACACCATGGAGACTGGTTCGGTGGCAAAGGAGTTGGACTGTGCAAAATAAAAGTGTTTCACATGTATATCAATGTTTATATCACACATGTATGTTCATCTAGTTAACTTTTTAACTCATTATTTAATCATATATAAAATATCCTTTTATGCATTATAAATAATAAAATGATTATACATCTCAATATAATCAGCCTATGACTTTTAAAGGATATTAAATGTTCACTGTTTTTGCAGTTACATGCGGAATATAATCGCGAGAATGACGAGTACATGGCTCATAGAGTGCTACAAGCGTTTGATACTGCTCAATTTGTAAAGATGACAAGTGGCGGCGTGGATGCTGTCATATTTGCGGGCGATCTTAATACAGAGCCGCAAGATTTAGCTTATAGAATTATACGTGGTGTTTCTAGTTTAGCAGATACGTGTCCTGATAGTCAAAGTCACATAGGGACCAACGAATGTGCCAATAATAGTTACACCAGCTCAAAACTCGCTCGAACACAGCCAAATGGAAAGCGTATAGATCACATCATGTATTTAGGTTCGAAGACTGTGAAGGTAAAGGATTAATATAATTAATATGAAAATATTGATACGATATATAATATATTAAAACTTGTAGGTTGAAGTTACAAATTTTGGACATCCCTTGCCAAATCGTGTGCCATATAAGAATTTTAGTTATTCCGATCATGAAGCTGTGATGGCTACACTTAAATTCACTAATGGTAAGCAATGTATTTAAATATTTCACACGTATTATGCACATGTATTATACATACATAAATTTTTATTTATTTTTTAAATTATTTCTTCAATAGTTTAGATTTATATATTTGTTTGTGCAGATAAACATGATGTCAAAGATCTAGATATTATTGATTCCCTGAAAGAAGCAGTAGAAATTTGCGAAGACGCATTGAAAAGTGTACAACGCCAACGTTTTTGGTATATATTGTCAACCTGCATGCTAATCATTCCATTAATTTGGATCATCTGGCTAAATTGCATGAATATATCTTTAGCTGCTGATATTGGTTTGAATGTAGTATGTATTCTTCTGACTGTATTATTATGCTATACTGTATTTATGAGTTCACTATGGAATTGCGCAGAGAAGAACGCATTAAGAGCAGGACGTTTAGCTATAGAAATTTACGTGACACATTTGGATAATAATCAAAACTGAACGTTAAATTTCTATAATAATACAGATCTAGTAAACTATCAATTAACAGTAACATACAATTAATGTTATAATTTCACATTCAATATAAATATAAAATATAACACATGTTGTATATAACAGTTACATTATTAAGTGTAAAATTATAATATTGATTTTATGTTAGTTGATGTTTATTGGATATTGTAATACCTCCAAAAGAGAGTTTAACATAAAAATTGATAACGCTCAAATAAAAATTTCGTTAAATAAAAATATATATTTAATATATATATGCTATCATATATATATAAATAAGGTAATATTTGTTTGCATTTATATACTATATTTATCACGTTATGATTTTATTATTAAATAAAACTTAAAATTAATATAGGTTGAGTTAAAAAAATAAGTTAATATGAAGACTAAAGTATGAATACTAAAATTAAACTGTGAGATTGTAATAGTTGTTTTGTTTTAATTCATTATTGACAGAGTTACAATTGTGTTACATTTATACGTTTACTATCATTTTTTACTAAATGTCTAGACACAGACATTTATAATATTACTGATTGATCAACTATATGAACTATGTATATCATTTCACAGGAATCAACATTGTGATAAAATATATCTATTTACATATGCATGCATTTATACTTCCATTATAATGTTGAAGTTTAGTTCTTCAAATCCAGTCTTTCAAGCGTAACCGCATTTCGTTTTATACGAGTTTGCGTTTCACATTTTTCTGATATCGATACTATGATATAATATTAAATAACATATTTTATGTATAGGTTTATAAAATTTTCCAAGATAATATAAAGTATTTTCTCAATATGGCATTATATATTTTATTATAATTATAATACAATACTATAAAACGAATGGTTATTATCTTTAAAATTTCCTACAAGTTCCATGGAATCTCCATATACTTTATGTTACATGGGAATGTCTTTTAGTATAAATGTATTCAAATACATATAGAAATATTAATTCTATATGGTCCTTCTGCACATGTATACCATTCGTAAGTCAT